TCATGGGTGGTTTCTTATATCCACACTGAGACTGATTATTGTTGGTATCATATACGTGAATATGGCCTGTGCAGTGAAGTACCTGTGTATAAATAAGAAAACAGCAGTTATTTTTAAAAGTTACACTACTACAAAAAAATGAAAATGCCCAGCTAAGTACATGAGCCTGACAAGTAAGCTTGGATAAATTTACTGTCATTAGTGGATTAAGTGCATTTTTGAAAATCAATAATGTTTTCCCCAGGAGACTACTCTTACATTATTCTTTAAAAAATTTTTTCCCTTTGTACAAGACTGGGGTGCTTTTTCATATGGCGATTATAGCTGTTGGATGGTTTATATCTTGCTCTGATGACTGTCTCAACACTGAGCAAAGAAATGATAACAATATTTACACATAAATCAGCTAAAAGTATAAACATTAAATCTGTAAACAAGGGAAGAACTGCACACATATTTTCCCTTCATAATTCCAGAACCGTCTTAGTATCGGCAATGTCTAGAGCACTGATGGCGAACCTTTTAAAGCTTGCACTGATATAAACAGCCCCCTGCAGAATGCACATCACCATAGGTTCTCCACCACTGGTCTAAATGTATGAATTTATTGATAAATTAAGTGCATCATCATAAAGGATTGTTACCTTCCATGTTGCAGACTTTATGTTCATAGTTCGCCCCCTGCTAGTTAGGGTACACTTCATCCTGAGAAAAAAGCTTCGCTGTGTGTTTTGTTCTTTACCCTTTTTCACAGGGCCTAGTGAAAGCAGGAAATATAGTTTAAAAGCTAAATATATATATATATATTTGTTACAATAAGGGTAGCAAAGTACCCAGCACCGTATACTGTTCAATTAAAAGTGTCAGTATGAACACAGTAATTCAAATCCCTTTCACCCACTCCAACATATCCATCTAAGAGCTCTTGTCTGATACACTCCACTCACTAACAGTGTTTCTGAGAATGCAGTGATTCCCTGAATTGGCAGGAGGAAAATCCATATTTGGGATGATTAATGATTTCAAAATAGTAAGCTTGGTCCAACTACAAGGAAATGTGAAGATAGTATGAGTTTGCCCTACATCCATCAGTGTACAAACATGCCCCTAAAAATAACTTTGGCAAATTCTTTCTGTCCTTTACCAAATGTGATTAGCTCAGTTTATCAAACAACAATGCATGTATAGAGATTTTAAAATATAAATATGGACTATAGGTTAAATAACAGTATTGTAACAATGTTAAATTTCATGATTATGACAGTCACATTGTAGTTAGGTCAGAAGAGGTCTTTGTTCTTACAAAACATGTACTTATTTAATAACGGGACACAGTGTCTCTGGAAAAAATAAAATAAGATAGCAACATTGTTTTAGTGGCAAATAACATTTTTATACATCTGACTTTTTCCTTAAATCATAAAGCAGGCAGGAAATTATTTCTGCTTTGTACTATGAAAGAAAAAAGGAGAAAGAATGAGATCAAAGTTAATAGAAGTAGGGGCTGGGAATGTAGCAGTATATAGGTGCTGGGCAGCACACTTGCTCAGCAAGCATTAAGCCCTGGTTCAATCCCTAGTGCTGGGGGGGAAAATGTTACAGAAATAAAGTCAAGTCTAGTTATTCCCATTCCAAATCCCTTAACTAAAAAATGAAACTACGGGCTGGGGATTTAGTTCAGTGGTTTCATTGCCTGCCTTGCAAGCACAAGGTCCTGAGTTCGATCCCCAGTACAAAAAAAAAGACTACACTCAGGTGACTAAGCAAATGGCATCTTGATTTCTTACCTTCAGTGGTCAGTCTGATTCAAACAAATATAAAAATATTCAATACTCAGGAGTTGGACTGTATATTCCAGGCGATAGAAAAGAGGAATAATTAGACATACTGGCTTTCTTAAAGAAGTTAAACATGTAGTAGATACAGCATAACTCAGAGCAAGTACACAAGATCTATAAGAAGAATGTTTTAAAGAAAGATTAGAAGATAACTTCTAGTCAGGGGGAAATCAAGAAGGCCTTAGAAAATGAGACTTTAGAATTTCAGTAAGTAGAGATGAATTGCTAGGGTATTCCAGCAGAAATAAGAGAATGAAAAACACAGAGGGAGGAAAAGTAGCATGTGTTTGGAAAGTGGTAGACAGTACAGTTTATCTGTAATATAAAGCACATGCAGAAGACTGATAAGACAAATTTAGAAATGCTAGGGTTATTACTATAGAGGGCCTTGGATGCCTGAGTCAGGAGTTCAAGCTAAATATATAACATGGGACTTTTAGAATAGTTTGAGTTGGGAAGCACAATTGGGAACTTAAGAAATATTAACTTGGCAATTATATATATATATATATGTTATGTATGTTAGAATTTGAATACAAGATAGTAATTGAGGGATTGAGGCAGTTTAAGTGGTAAAAATGGAAAGAAAGGTGGCTCAACAAAAGGTAGAATTTGCAAAACTTAAAAACTGATAGAAACAAAGGTCAAGAGAAATAGAAACAAGATCTGGAAAATTTAAGGCTAGTATATTAAAAGAAGTGTCAAGTGACAAAGAAGCAAGAGAATGTACTGAACTCCAGGCATGGTTGGCTAAAAATGCTAGATTCGCTCTAGTTAATACTCATGTTTAATATAAAACTAGAAAGCTGTGGAGAAGTTGTGGCAGTCCTGGTGCTGATAAAAGTTATTTGGCTTGGCTTAAATAAAGATGAAATCTGCCTTCCTAGAAGCATCAAGAGTGGATTTTAAAAAGATGCCACAGAAGCCATACTGGTCTTGGCCATACACGTGTGTGGGGTAGGTGGTGATGACTGTGGTGGTGGCACTTGAGATCCATGTGCAAACTACCTGATGTATTTTCAGACCTTCATAATCTAAGCCTGAATTAAATGATCTTTGGAAACCCAGGGCCTTTCAACTGGGGCAGACAGATAAATTAAAAAACCAAGACCGCTGAAAAATACTGCCATTTTCTTTCTTTTTTTTTCTTTTTTTTTTTTTGTACTGGGGATCAAATTTGGGTCCTCAGCTTGCGAGGTAAGCAGTGGAACCACTGAGCTAAATCCCCGGCCCAGCCATTTTCTTAATAGAAAAATATTTTAAAAGAACTACATTTTTCAATGACTTAAGTAGGTTATATTTTAAGATTTTAAAATCTAATAAAAGAATAGGGTTATTTGTATAATCACACCACTGGCTCTTAGTGTATCATTAAAATGTGATGCTTTGCAACAGCCCCTCATTTCTAAAAATGAAATTCTCCATTTTTAAACTTCCCAGCAAAACATCAAAATTCATTAACTACATTAGGAATGACTTCAAAAATATTTCTGTGCTTTATAAAATTACATTTGGTTAAAAATATACATTCAAATGATATTAAGTAAACTGTATCTAATTTAGAAAAACACATTAATCTCATTACCAAATCAAAGCAAGATGCTCTAATATTCATCCATTTATAGTCCAGGCTCAGGGAAGCTCTCAGCAGTCAATACAAACCTCAGGTATGAAGACCAGAACACATACACTGTATTGAACAACATGTATTCAGCTCAGAGTATATTTACCTATTTTTATACAGAATTTGAAAAAGTATGCATTTTTTTCTAAAAACAATATGAAATTAAAAAGCAAGAGTAGGCTTCTACTAATCATTTTTAAAAGGCAGTAGAATGCAATGAGAGTTCAAGAACACAAGAAGAGGGCCAGGGATTTAGCTCAGTGGTTTCGCCACCTGCTGGGCAAGTGTAAGGACCCAAGTTCAATCCCCGGTACCAAAAAAAAAAAAAGAACCTAAGAAGAGATCTGAAATACCAAGTGTGGATGTGAAGCCAGTCTACGTAGAGTTCAGACCAAGCCCTGCCATTTGCTAACTAATACTACGGGACAAGTTACTCAGTGACTCGGTGGCTCAGTAAATAGGAACTGTAACTAACTTCACAGGGTTGTTGTGAGAAATACAGGACTTAAGGACACAAAATGAAGAAAGCAGTGTCCTGACACCCAGTATTCTCTCAATAGAGATATAAGTGAGATAAAAAAGGAAATTTTAAAAAATATTTCTGAAGCAAATGTACACACTTAAATTGGAGCCTAGCAAAGTATAATAACAAATTTTCATTTGGTAACTTTTAGGATTATGATCAGTATATTCAATGTAAGTAGATACAAGTATGGAAAAGCTTTCTTTGTTATGATTTTGTAATTCAAGAGGTACTTTTCAAAAATCTTGGAATATTTTATCATTTGTAATGAATTATTTCTCAGTTACAAGTTTTACTGTCTTTGTTAATGTGAGAGCATCTATAATGCTGTTATACTCTGTAATATAATTACATAGTTTCGAATTATTGAAAACATCCTGAGAAGTCAAAGCAGTTATTGTGCTCTTCAAATTTTGGTTCTCTCTTTTTTCTTGAGAGAGGAAAAAAGGCCTTGAAAAAGCCTGGACCAACACTACTTCCTCAGTTTCAATAACTATCTAAAATTCTATTATTTGTTATTTAATGTTATAACCTCTTCTTTCTTAATGATGTATTTTAATTTGTAACTCTCTTGGCCTTGATTTTTATTTACTTTTTCATTCATTTTATTTTATTTGTGTAATTATTAATGAAATGAGGTAGGCTCTAAGACATTTTTGGGTGTTTTTATGAAATTCCTGAAAAGTAGAATAGTCTTTTAAATGTAAAATGACATTTTACCTTATATTAGTACAGAAACAAAATTTTTAAAATTATTAATAGTATCTGATTAAGTAAAACCCCGTCACATTAAATCAAATAGACTTCTCACCATTTCTGTGTGTAAGCATTTCTTTCATTTCCTCATGGTCACACGGATGAGTAAAATCAAACACACTGTGTCCAGTTAGTTCAAACTGTAAACATATTTTTAAAAATTAGATCTACATCATAAAATCATAAAAGCATCCAAAAGGGCTCCTAATATGTGGACATGTTACCTGAGTTAACCCCATGTATTTGTTCACGTTATCAGAAATGTAAATCATGTCACCATCATCAGTGAGCACCATAACAAAGCCATCCAGGGCCTTCAAATAAAAGCAGTTCATCTGTGCTTTCATTTCATCTTCAAAATCCAGATCACCTAAAAAGGCACAAGAGGAGGAAGGTAAGTAAGATGTTATGCTTCAGTGATATAATGTTTAGATGTTTGTATAAAGTTTTCTCTCAGATACTTTAATCTACAGCATCTATTTTTCCTGTGTGTTTTAATTTTCCCCATCACTCATGTTAACACAGAAGAGTCAAAGCCAGAACTGGGAAGACTAAAATTAGACTTTACCAAACAATGCAGCCAGGCAAACTATTGAAAAAAGAAAGGATCGTGTTTTGATTGGAAGGCTGGTGGAGGAGGAGAAAGGGTGGGGGAATTTCTGAATGAAACTTTCAAAACAGGTAATAAAAAGGATATCATATAAAAAAAAAAAAAAGCTAAAAATTATTTCTAATCATTTTCAATTTCTAATTTTCAGGCCTATTAGACTCATATAAAACAACTTACCAGCATCCAGAAGTTTTCTCACACGCAAATAACTGATGGTAAGCCTCATAACAGAAGCCTTATCAAGATGTGAGCTCACATTATGGGGAAGTGGCAACTGATGAGCAAGCTCATAAAATACTTCAGACTCTTTGCTTCGCCGAGATCTGGCTGCGTCTCTAGACTTTTCTTTTCGACGCTCAGAACTTATCCTACTTAACGAGAAGAAAAAAAAAAAAAGAAAGAAAAAAGAGGCCGAAAAGGGACCAAAACATGTATGTTAGTTTGTTGAATAAAACTAAATTTACATTTTTCTGCTTACCACACAATTATAACAAGCTGTGTAATTAGTTATATGAGACTTGTCTAGTCAATAAACATTTTTATACAAGATGGCTATACAAATTTTGGGGGGCCAGGGATGTAGCGCGGTGCCATGCCTGCCTGGCAAGCTCAAGGTCCTGGGTTCAATCTCCAGTACCAAAAAAAAAAAATTTAGATTACTGCAAAACAAAGAAGTCTAAGATCAAGCTTTCATTCAATCTGTCCAGTCAGGAGCAGTAGCATACACTTGTAATCCCAGCTACAGTAAGGTCCCGATTTACGAACATTCAAGTCGTGAACTTTCATGGATATGAATGGATCTCCATTTTGAACATTCATAGGCAGAACTGTCACAGTTGTGCTACTGTATGCTTAGTGTACAGTGTGGTAGTGCACAGTAGTACAGTGCTCAATCAGAGTCCAGAATATCCAGAAGAGGAAAAACAGTGGTAATGTGGAGAAGACTCCTAGGAAGTGCAAAGCAATATACATTGTATACAGTGGACCCTCAAGTTATGACCAGCCTCACATTCCAACAATGTGAGTTAATTAGGTTAATGGGAGATTCAACTGCCTCGTTGTCTATAGTGTATACCAAGGTAAACATCCAGATCTCAGTTGTAGTGACTTAAAACCAATCACGTTCATAAGTCAAGGGTCTACTGTATTTGTATCAAAGGTGTATAGGACTCACTTTGTTGGATTTACGAACAAATCTGACTTACAGATGTCCTGGAATAGAACTCTTTTGTAAGGAGACTTACTGTACTTGGGAAGTTGAAGCAGGATCCCAAGTTTGAAGCCAGCCTGGGCAACTTGGTGAAACCCTGCCTCAAAATAAAATTTAAAAGGGCACGGCATAGCTCTGTGGTAGGTAGAGTGCTCACCTAGCATATCCAAGGCCCTGTGTTTAACACAAACCTCTCCAAAGCAGGTGTTTCCTACTCCTTGGCATGTCAAATTGGAGATATTTACATCTTTCTAAAAATCATAAACTGCATACCTAAAAGTGTCATTCAAAACTAGTCTCAACATAGAAAATCCATGATTGAGTCTAGAGATAATACCTAAAATGGTAAACATAGTAACTTGAAAACGAGCTATTAAGCAGGTAGAACAGTAATTGCTAACAGTAATAGTTATACACTGATTTGTGACTCAAGTTTCTTTTGACCCTAATATTTTCCCACCCTCTACCCTGCCACACGAACAATACTGACCATAAGCTATAGGAATTTATATTAGCAGCTGTAATAAGCTACTGTTTTGAGGCTGCTCACTTCCTTAACAGCCCCTTATCTCATAATGGCCATATGTAGTACCAAATAAATGAAGGGGGAAGGGAAGGGAAAAAGACGTGGCACAATACTAAGAATTTCAAGGGACAGGTTAGCAAACATAGTAAGGGTATCAACACAATGATACATCTTTAAAGGAACTCTTTCAGCAACAAAGTCAGTCAGATTTTCATCAGTCATACCAAGTGAAGCTGTCTTCTTTGCTTAACTACCCAGCAACATCTAGTCCTTTGACCCAGTTGAAGGTAAGCTAAATCTGGCTGTCCTTAGCTGCTTTCTAAGTAACTACTGTTTATTAAAGCCTATATGAAGCAAACACTACATTGTATTAGGTGCCTATTTCTCCGTAACAACCTGTGAATAGGCTAAATAGTATCACTGTTTTAAGAATGTGGATCCTAGGATTCTGCAGGATAAAAACAGCAATTCTGTATCAAACAGGATTTGCACCCAGGTATTTGAAGTCTTTGCTCTTTCAGTTTTATCTCTTAATGGAGAATGCTGCCTTTACCCAGCTGATCTATAGGGCCCCTAACTCAATCCTGTTGATCAGCTATTTACTAAATATTGAAAACGGCCCTTACAGTTCATTGAGTTATTAGCAGCATAACAAGGAGTTACTTCACTTAATCCTCATGTTCTCCCTACCTCAACATTCCTTTTAAATGATCTGTAAAGCTGCAAAGTACAATCACAGAAGCAACCTTCTTTCTTAACAGTTTTCTACATACATCCTTTTGCTATGTTGTATAAAAACATAAAAATACCTAACAGTTGCATTTTGACAATAGTGATACAATTCCAGCACTTATTTAATAATGTAAATGTTTGATATAGTAACATTTCAATTCAAGCACCTAGAGCAATTTAACTTAACATTGAGATTTAAGGTAGGCTATGAAAAAGTCACTTTTAGTACTTAAAAATCAGAATTTTCTTAGAAAAATAAATTAGATATTGAGGCTACCTGAAAAATTAGAGCATGTCAGCTGTCTGCAGTTGTATTTTTTAGGTGCCTTAGAACTGCTTCATTGTTCTCATTGATTAAATGTTTTCAATTTAAATTTAAAAATAAGCATAATAAAAGTTTTTTAAAACAATTTGAACATATACTGGAGTTTAACATAACATCCCTGCGACCCACGTCAGGTGGATCCCTGTGAGCCTTACTATATGCTGTTTCCTTCATGTTTCCCCCCTCTTAAATTGGTGGTTAAGAGGCAGTGTCACCTATGGGAAATACTACTATCTAGTTCAAGTAAAACCAACAAGAAAAAGTGAATAATGACCATATTATAAACCTGGATATTAGTTCAAATGTTCCAGTTAGTACAGGCATTCAAAATTTTACATGCTACTTGAGTCAGACTACAATGCTGTCATCTGTTTTCTGAACTACTCAACTAATCTAGGCCAGGCAAATTTATATCCACTTGATAAAAAACTGTAATCCTTATAATACCTGTTATATATTTTTAAAGCATCTGATCAAACTAACCATGGTGACTGAAGGTCATACCTTTTGAAACACTTGTATTGTTCAGAATTTTGAAGCTAACAATGATTGTCCAAGATGTGGCAGTAAGATTCAAGATAAATCTGTTAGAAATGTGATGTCAGATAAAATGTTTAAAGTTCAGTACTGTATGTTTAAACTGGTACAGACTGTGACAAGAAGAATTTGAGCATGAGTTTGAATTTCTGAATGAAATAGATTCAAGAAAAAAATACATTAGAATTGACAAAGGAGGAGTTGAAAATCATTGTTATTACATAAGCAATCTAGATAGAAAGCAAGCAGGGGACATCTGACAGAGGTTTTGCCCCTACCCACCTCTAGTGCTTGAGATTGTTCCCCAGGGTCTCACAAATTCCAAAGCACTCTCTTTACCATTGAGCTACACCCCAACCCTATAATAAATGTATTTATATGATGTTCTTCACATGACCATGAGAGCTCTTCAAATATTTCCAAACTTAAAGTTAATGTGGCCTTCTCAGGATCAAGAAAAACAACATGGCTCAGTTCCTAGATACTCAAATGTTGTTCTAGCACTGGTCTGTAACATAGATTGTACCCAATCATGTTCTAGTATGTTAGTGTGTTACCATTTATGGGAGACCAAGACACAAAAATTCTATAAAAGGCAAAACTCCGCCATGTTTGGGGCTCACCCTTTTGGGTATTAACCCACTGGGCCCCATGCCAGCATAAATAATGATACTTCCTGGAAAAAAGCCTCGGGTGTCCAGCCTCTCTCTGCAAGAATCTTGCTACATTTCTTGAAGGGCCTCTCCTGATTTAGAGAGTCAGAAACAGTACCTTCCATCTCCTTTGTTGTCCCTCGGATCACCACACCATGAGACTCTAACTTGCCTGGCACCAGCAGACCATTTGATCCTTAGGGAGACTGGAGCTCCCAGCTTGCTGGAGCGAAAACCCTGGATGCACAGTGGAACCTGGTGAGGCTCAGGACTAGCTTGGGGAGCGTCACCCATCATATTGGTAAGAGCCTGGGTTCATTCTGGTAAACCTTCCCTAAGAGGCAGAAGGGGAGTCTGATCACCTCCCACAGTTAGGGTTGCCCAAGTAAGGTTCACCAAAACCAAAACTGCAACTAAGGTGTTGGGCACTGGATGGTGGGTAGCAGTCATTGTGTGTTTGCATGTGATGTGATGAGACAGCAGCTAAAAGGTGCCTGGAATATGTGAAGAGCAGCTAGAGACAGATGATGCGAGTGTGTCCCCTCCTTATTAGCCATTCCCTTCCTGCCTTTTTCTCTCTTGTGCACGTAAGTTGTCCACTGGGAGGATGAGATGGGTGAAAAACAGAGTAAACCGAGTAAACCAACTGCCCTAAGATGCATGTTAAAGAATTTTTAAATATTTGGGCTATTCGGGTGATTATGGTATTAAATTAACTCCCCCAAAATTCCATACATTCTTTGAAATTGATTGGCTATCGTTTGGGATGGGCTGGTGTCCTGAGGGCTCACCTGATAAGGAGATACTTAGCCAAGCGTACAGGGTGGTTGTAGGGGACCCTAGCCACTCTGACCAACTTCCTTACATTGACTATTGGCAAGTCTTGGTCCTGTCCTGTCCACCTTGGCTGAAAGCCTGCATTGAGGGGAACTGCAGAGCGATGAAGCCCAGATTAACAGCCACCTCCAAATGTCAGCCAAAGCCAAATAAACTGGTTCTGTCTGGGGAGCCAGAGGAGGCCCTATCTCCTTATGCTCCACTGTATTCACCACTGCTGCCACCATGTGCTGCTCCCGCTGCAAAGGTCCCACCAGAGCCAGTCAGCCCACTAGAGGTTGCCTCTTCCTCAGTGTCATTTGAGGCCTCCCCAGAGACCCCTTCAACAGGGGCCACCCCTAAATTGCCCATTCTGACTCCACACACACCTGTGGGTACTCATTGAGGACCATTCCAGCAACCTAACTCTCTAGCCCCAACAAGGCACCCTGCAGATGCTGCTTCGAGAAATGTGGAGACCTCTCTACTATGCCCAACAGGGACAGATCCAAGGAGGCAAATGACAAATGTTAGTGTACCAACCCTTCACCACCACAGACCTCCTTAATTGGAAGAATCACGCCTCTTCATACACAGAAAAGCCCCAGGTGATGACTGACTTGATGCAGTCTATTACCCAGACTCACAGGCCCACATGGACTGATTACGGACAATTCCTTGACCTTATT